TTATTCTACGTGTTTCCAGAAGACTGCTGAAATGCGACAGCTAAATAAACAGCCCGCCTCACCGGCTCGGCGCGCAGCTCCGCTCCCCTCCGCGCCCTCCGACACCGACGCCCCGCGCCGCCTGCGCTCGCCTCTTTTTATAAGGCGGCCCGGAGATGACGTCAGCGCCGCAGAACGGCCTCGCGGCTCGGCGGAAACTGCCGAAGGGGTTCGTAAAGAACTGGTCCCACCCGAGCTCAGCGGGCGAACGGCTGCGGGTGGCGCATGCGCAGAGAGCTGGGAGTAAGCCGAGGGCGTCCGGAAAGTGCCGAGCGGTTCCGGAAAGAGCCGAGAGGCGCGGCGGGGCGAGGCGCTCGCTCCCTGGGCACCCAAAATACACGATAACGCTGCGAATCCCTTAAAATGTGGGTTTTCTGCTGGGTTTTCTGCCTCCTGAGGCCCTCCTCGTGCTCTTGAAGGCCGGCAGGGCAGACTCAAAAGCAGCAGCCTCGTCAGTTTTACATGAGTAACAAGATGCAAAGCAACAGGATCACAAAGGAGCCTGACAAGGACAGGGGATCAAAAGGCTACAAACGCCTGTCAAGAGACATGTATTTTTGAAAGCCAATGCATAAATTCAAAGGAAAATGAGGTAATCTCGACGTTTGAAGCAGAGATGGCAAAGACATTCTACTCTCAGTTTATTGAGAGGCTGGATAAGGCAGCAAGAACCTGAGATCAAAGTAGTGAGTGGGTTTGAGTGATTTTTTGAGTTAATAGCACTTTCTTTTATAAAAAGGTACTGAAATGGAAACAGCAGAGTTGCAGTGACAGTGCGTGACGAGCCGTGGGGCTGCTGGAACTGTCTCCAGGAATGAGTGTGACTCACAGCAATTCTAACCCCTCTCACAAGGAACACACGGTATTTTCATCACTGAAACGCTGGTTTGTGCTATTTGATAGGAATATGCATGTGGAAATAACACCAACACATGCAGCAGGACCTTATTTGCACTGCATCTTCGTGACACTGAACGGGCAACATTCAGAACAAGATAAAATGAGAAAAAACAGAACTGCAGAATACAAATCAACCATCAGTTCAAGCAACAGATGCAACCTTAAGCTAAACCTAAAAAACAAATGTATTTATTATTAATATTTTCAAGTATTATTCAATTAGAAATTCTTATTAGTGTTTTTGTAATAGTAACTAAATATCTGGATGGCCTTTACTGAGGCAAAAAAACCCCACCATGTTTGTTATTTATAAAAATATATACTTATACTCCTCCCATAAACATTAGGAAACCCTGGTACCTGTCAGCAAAAAAAAGAAGAAAGCCTTTGTATCTTATATATACATCATCAAACCCTTGTGGTTTGGCACAGGGAGAGAATTGTTTCTAACAGACTGAACCAATTACCATCTTGGCAAAGTGAGTCTCCATCATCAGATATGCAAGGTGTAATTAAAACATCTCCACACAGTATAAAAAAACCACATCCTGAGCATTTTCAAGTATACTAATAAAAGTTGTATGTTGTTCCAGTGTTATCTGGTAAAAAGATGCAGGAAGATTTCCAGTAATCCCAGAACAATCACCAGTAACACCAGCCTAAAGAATTCCAGAGTCAGTTCACAAACATATAAAGCAAATACAAATTTAACCTATTCACCAGCCAATTGTAAAGCCAAGGTTAAAGGTTTGAAAGGCCTGGATTGCAAAGGACATGTTGCCACCTCTGCTCAGAAACCCCAACAGCAATACAAAAAAATAAAATCAAGGTCAGATTCTCATGTGGCCTCAACTCTGCTTTTTAAAGCCACAAAGTCAGTGCCTCTAGGAATAACAGACACTGATCTAGTAAAAAAAAAAAAAAGAATTTTAACTTATGACAGTGTATTGCAAAAATAACACACTCCCTTCTAGAACTGAGAAGCCAATTTCCCCATCGTGGAGGCCACCAAAATAGTTCAAGGACACAGAGCACAGTAAATCAGACAGATACCCCACAGTCTCTCTCCTGTATTCACCAAGCAGCTGTAGGTTTTCTTGATTACCCCTCTTCTATAGAAAAAAACAAACTGCATCAGCTTCAGATTACAAAGAAAAATAAAAATCAACATTTAATATTAAATTAAGCAGATTTCTCAAATGAACCATTCTCAGAATGACCCACCACTGATACAGGAGTCTTACAGTACTTGACACAAAATCTGTAGCATTGATAAGGAGTAAAGTAATTTAAATAAAAAGAGACTTTATAAAAAGCACCTTAGGTAACCCAAGCAGACCATTTCTCCCTCAAGTGGAGGCAGAACATCAGCAAAAGGGCTAGAATTAATGCACCATTTTGCTAATTTCCCCTCTCCCCTTCTTTCCACCCCCCCCTTTTTTATGTCCTTAAGAAAAGGATTAGTAGCTTCCACCCATCTGATGGGTAATAGACACAGAATTTTTGTAGTTAGTTTCAGGAACTCTGCTCTCCCATCTTGAAGTTACTAAGATCCTTTTCCAACAGTGAGTCTCCCCTTCTTAAATCCAGAGTACAGCCCCTGAGAGCAAAGTTACACTCAGAGGGAAGTGTCAACACTGCTGGGCCAAATGCCTTTCTCAGTCTCACTGTAATTTTAAGATGTTGAGACAAGATGCAAACACGTCAGCATAATTAAAATTGAACTATGAAAGACAGATGCAATAAGTATAAAAATAAAGTTCTAGTGTAGATGTCTGATGACTCTGTGAAGACTTCATAAAGCTGTGAGGTATTTTCACTTCCAAGAACACAACAGTGTGCAAATTTTCAGTCCAAGAGTCTTAAACCTCTGAAGCCCAGAGGTCCTCAGGATACTGTATTTAAAACATCTTCTGCATGTTGAAACACATGAAGGAAAAGTCTTCAACTTCCCATAAATTATTATACAAAAACTTATAAAAATCCAAAGCCAAGAATAACTTCTGATTATTTGCAAAGCATTAAGGACAAGTTTTGTTCTGCCCAACATAATTCTTGATGAATTAAACATTAACAGGTTGATGGAATATTTTCTCCTCATTCCTCTATATACAAAATTTTACTTTACATATAAACAGGAAACCAGGTTGAAAAGCATCCGGGGGGGAAAGAAATATAAACTAATTTATGATTTCCAAAAGGAAGGCTTCAGGGCTCCCTTTGGTGCTGGAATTTTCTTCTGCTGTAGACATTCCTAGTGGAGAGAAAAAGACAAAGGAAAGAGAAATATGAAACTTAATTTGCCATCTCAGGAGTGTTGATGGCTCTTACTGGACACATTAAAAGCACTGGAAATTAAGTATACCAAAATTAATTCTGAAATGAAAGTACAAACTCTGAAGCTATTTTAATATCATAATCTAAGTCAACATTCACAAAAGAACTTACAGGTGTTTTACAGTTTAGCAAGCTTTCTTAAAAAATAAATGCAAAACATAATGCTGAAGAAATGCTACAAGTTCAAAGTGTCTCCTTCCTCATGTGGCTCATCAGGACATCAGCTAAAAACAAGCAAACCACTGAATAAAAACAGTTCTTACAGAAATGACTCAGCAAAGTTCACCTCAACCTCCACAACTCCCCTCACTGCATTTCATTTATCATCAAAACATATTTTCAGTGAGAAAAATCAGATGTGAGAAAGGAAGAAGAGATGTCTGACTAATCCTAATGAGCATTAAGGTAATTCAGTAGCTGAGACGTTCTAAAAGATGGGTTTCATCACAGTGAGAGGGCCAGACCATCAGGAGTGCTGTGAGCAGCATCAGCCTCATTAGCAAAATGATGCACATATTGAATGAAGGGGGGAAAAAACCTCAAACCAAAACACTTGGAAAGTTAAAAATAAATGGCTTTACCTCCAAGAATTGCTTGAGACGTGTTAATGAGCCCATCTGCCCAGAGCTGGTAATTGCTTCAATTCTGCAGAAATAACAGCATCTTTCAAAATCCACTTAGAAAGTTGGGTTTGATTCACAAGTGGGTGGAGGGTGAATAGCAGAGATTGGAAAAGATGGACAAATCATTTAAGACCAAACACTCCCAATGTAAAAACACAAGGATTCTTTCACATTCCTAACCGTAGATGCCATACCTTGGAATATAGTCTTCTTGGATAAATACCATCATTTTCCAGAACTGAGCCTTATACAGATTCAGAAGAGCATTGCCACACACCTATGGAACAGAAATCCACAAAGATCAGCTTCCAGAATTGGGTTTCAGACTAGCAGGACAACTTCTATCAAACCGCTCAGTATCAACCACTTAATATTTTATCCAGACATTTAAATCCAATATACCTACATCTACAATAAACCAAGGAAATCCTGTAAATGCCATTACAGGCATTACATGTGGATTGTGCCAACCATAATCACCTTTTTTTCCTCGCTGTGTGGTGGCAACTGATACCAATCAGATGTTATTCCTCCTTCAAAACCAACAGCCTTCCCTAATCCCACTTGCTAGGGCATGTTGTGGTCATTTCCCCATCCTGATGACTGCAGTGTGAATTCATCAGATTTCTCCATACTAGTCATTTTACAGGATAAATGTTCCTCAAATTTCACCACTCCCAATAGACTCCACATGGTGTATTTCACTTTGTACTTCCCTATAGATCCTCAGATAATCACACAAGCTGCTTGGGTTCAGTGGTGTTTGTCTCCCTTGACTTCAGCCTTTAACTTCAGGCCTTATGTAGCACAGGCTCATATCCTAGGATATAGGATTCATGTACATCAGGCTCTGACCTTTTCTACCTGAAAAATTAATCCTGTTTCACTTACTGAGTCAGCTGGAAAGGCCACAGGACCTCACTGCACTGTATGAACTGATGCCAAGTGCTTAGACCTTATTCTTATAGGACCATGCGAGTAATTTTAAATACCAGGAACCTTAAACAGAACTAAATACAACAGAGGTTGCATGTATAAAAACTTCAGGTTTTAAATAATTTAGCTCCAAAGCTGAATTTGCAAGAACATGGAAATATTCACATTCCTTTCTGAAGGAATAAGGACAGGCTAAAAAAATAAAAAAATAAAAAAAATCTGCTGTTAAAGATCCCAAGAAACCTCACCTCAGCAATCCCTTCAAAAACTAAAATGTCACCCATTTCCATCTCTCTAATGATCAGTCATCTGCACCATGTACCTCCAGGAAACAAAAGAGCAGGGTGGCTGTCACATCTGCCAGAGGCTCCATGTTCAACATCTGAGAAAGCCAACGCCACCCGTAGTTCAACCCGTGAGGATGTTTCTGTGAAGCAACAACAACAAAAGCTACAGACCCCTTGTTTTATCACTTTTCAAATGCTATTATTAAACCAGGCAGTTGTCTGATTTATCCTCTCTTTTAAAAAGTTATAGCCTAACATAAAACTTGATCACTATAAAAAGGAAGTAAAGGTCTTCCCTACAAATTGGTTGACGATGCTTTGGGGATTATGGTTATGACCCTTCAAATATATCATGAGCTGGTTAAGTTCAGCACATGTTAACTACTAACCAAGTTAACAATCCATTTAATAGACTCTTGGGACAGTGGCAAGTTTCTAATTAGAACAAACATACCCCTTGTTTGTTTCCATGAGGCCACTGGACTTGAATGATAGCAGCATAAAGACAAATCATTCCCGACATCCGCTTAAGGAAATGATCTTGCTCTTCCACCTTAGAATCCTCAACATCATATCCAAGCATCCTAGGAATGAGAAGACATTCCAGTATTAGTACAGCAAAAGTCCCTGCATGTCTTAGTTTATTTAAGTGAACTCTATGGAGAGTAGGGATACCCCAAAATCATGCAAAAAATATTGCAAAGGCAAATCATTCCCCTCTGGATCATAAATTCCACTATTTTATACCACAAAGAACATTTAGGTTCTGTGCTGCACATCTCACCTATGCCTTTATCAACTATTCTCCGAAGACAAGGAAGAAGCAAAAGAGCACTTCCAAAGCTGAAGGAGGGGATCAGGGTGAGGTGAAATGCACACTTGATTGAATCATGGAATGCCAGGTTGGAAGGGACCTCAAGGATCATCTGGTCCAACCTGTTTATCTAATACTACAGTTTATAGGAGATGGCTCAGCACCCTATGAGTCCATCTCCAGAGCCTACACCAGCACATCACAATGCCTGGGAATCAGAGATGGGGAAAAGTGGAATTCACTCAGAAAAATCAAGTTTTCATCCTTGCAGGGTTCATGCTGAAGATGTGCAGTAATAATTTTACCTTCGGTATTCTTCCACAGAAATCCCCTCTTTAAATGCAGGGTAAAATGGCACAGAATAGGGGCATTTCTTGTGTAGGTGAGCTAAGAAGAGGTCTCCAACTCGAGGGTGTAATTCCCAGATGCCTGAGGCCACCACAGCAATGGTGAAAGCTGCATCACGGTGAGCAGCTACTTCTTCTCCTCCTTGTTTCTAGAGGGGGTGAAAGGAAAGTCAGTCCCCATCCTTTCAAACAACTCAGACAAAGAAATTCCTCTTTTTTTTGTTTAATTGGCCTCTACTGAAGGATTCTAGTATTTCCATGACTTGTTTTAGCCAACAACAGAAAAGCTGATAAAGCTCTATAACCTCAGCTCCCACAGAGGGTGACAAACTTTGGCTCAGGAGAGAAGGGGTGAGCAAACACAGGCACAATGTGCAAAGATGACACAAATCAGTCACAGTTTCACTCCACAGCCTAATTTCTGCATACATTTGTCACTGCAGGTACAAAACAGTTTCAAAAAGCCCAAATTTAGCAAATAAAGAATGGAGAGTTCCTTCAAAAAGCAACTTAAACAATAACACTTGGTTTCTTGGGAGGTGCTTGACTAGACAACAGGGACAGAAGTTTGCCTCTTGGGCCTTAGCTTTCCCACCCCACAGTTTTCCTCCTTCAAGAAGAGATAAGATAGGGCAGGGGAGGAAAAGAGAAAGGAAGTTTTTCCACTTTTTCTTTTTTTTTGTACCCAAAAAGCACTTCCTGTAATTGATGTAGACATCAATACATGCAAGCTAAACACCTAGTTTTGTTCGTAGTAGTTGAAGACAATGAACAGGGTCTGAAAGAACTTCTCAAAGCACCTTTGCCACCCCAATAAAAAGAGAATTTCCTCACCACGAATTTCTCTGCAAGTTTGTAATGAACAAACTCCAGCCCCTGTGGATGCTGGGTCACCGACACAGTTCTCCCTCCAGTCTGCACAGACTTCCCAGAGAGCAGGTTATCAATCTTGTCAAATATCTCTCTCAACTGAGAGCCTGCAAGTATAAAGGAATATATGGAGACAGAAGATTAGGAAACAGCAGACAAGTATTAACCAGACCTTTTCAACTTCATAGAATGGTTTGGGTTGGAAGGGAACTTAAAGATTATCTAGATCCAACCCCCTGCATGGGCAGGGACACCTCCCACCAGCCCAGGCTGCTCCAAGCCCCATCCAACCTGCCCTTCAACACTGCCAGGGATGGGGCAGCCACAAATTCTCTGTGCAACCTGTTCCACTTTTTCACCACCCTCACAGTGAAGAATTTCTTCCTAATACCTAACCAAAATCTCTCCTCTTCCAGTTGTCCCTTCACAAAGAGAAGTTCACTAGAGCTACACCCTAAAGGGCAAGGCACCTCCAACTGCTTCTTTGCTACATCTGATTAAAGGCATTTAAACAAGTTGAAGCAAGAGACCTTCAAAACATAAGCAAAAACTGTGCTAAAAGGACTTGGACTGTATGCATACAAGACTTCTGATGTAGGGATAATTACAGAAACATTGGACATATTGTGTCCTACTAAAATCTGTAGAGCAAAAGCCATTTCAGCTGGATTGGGTTCTTGGTGTTTTCCTGACCTGATCTACTAGAGATCTGGCTCACAGGGATGGTAGCTGCTTTCTGCAAGTCTGTTTTTATTTTCTTGACCTGCAGAACAAACAAATAAACAAACAACTTTAAAAACTTTTACAGATAAGTAAACTACTCTGATATTTTGGGTAAGCAGCCTGTTAACTGAGGCTGCTAAGCCAGAATTTATATATATATATATATATAAATAAATGAAAGCTGAGCTATTTCCCCTCCAAATCAAGACATTCACTCTTTAGCAGTATTAATAATTTGTTCATACCTCATTGTTGTCTTTGCAGTTGCTGATTTCACTGAAAGAAGCAACACACTGCTCAGCAGCATCTTGAAGCTGTTGGTACCACTGCATGATACTTTCATCTGCCTTAACTTGAAGTCCTGATATTGAAAACTCAAAAAAAACAACAAAGAGAAGACTAAGAAAGACCCCAAACTCCATATAACTCCAGGGAATAGGGGAGAGAATTGGAAAGGTAGAGAGATTCATGGGTTGAGATAAAAACTATTCAATAACTGAACTAAAATTAATGATTATGATAATAATAAAAAATATATATACACAACAAGTGATGCACAGTGCAACTGCTCACCACCTGCTGACCAATGCCCAGCCCAGCCCTGGCTAGTGATCCCAGAAGAAACTAACAACTACATGAGTGTTTTTTTCCCAAAATTTAGTTTAGAAAGTGATGTTTATCAATCAGCTACAAGTTTGTAAGCTATACTGCAGTCCTCCTTCTTCAGCTTAGCAGCTTCTATATGCAGTGTATCTGGACTGAGAAGGAAGCCATTTCAGTGGCCTGTCCTTGTATGTTTTGTTGTATCATCCATCACCCACCTACACAGGCAGGAAGGACAAGATTATGCTCTCATATTCCACATACTGTCTAGGAACAGCAGGCTTTGCTCCAGGTGATACAACAAATTTATGCAAATTTATGCTGCATCCGTCTACACTTCAAAAGTTGGATGCTAGCAGTCCTATCTCTGTTTTGGTAGAGGAAAGAGAGAGAAGGGGGGGGAAAAGAGAGAGAGTGAGAGAGAGAAATAAGGAGGGGGAAAGGGAGAGAGAGAAGGAGGGGGAAAGGGAGAGAGAGAAGGAGGGGGGAAAAAAACAACAAAGCAAAAAAGCCTAACCAACCTTCCTTCTGCTGCTTTCCCCCTGACTGTTGTGCAGGAGCAGGAGTCTGAGCCTTCATCTTCTGTTTTTCCAGTAACTCCTTCTGCTTCTTGCTCTCTTCTTCTTCATCCCTTCTTTTCACTTCCACAGCTGCAGCAATCTCTTGCTGCATGCTGGCTACCAGCGCCCGCATCTCCTGCAGCGCTCGCTCCGCATGGGCCACGTCTGCCGGGGCAGGGAACCCTCTCTGTTGAGAAAGAAAGGAAGGAGGGAACAGAGCATCACCCTCTTGGTTCCACACTCTGGAGACCAACAGCAAGAGCAAGGAGCCTCTGAAGCACCAGTCTTCAGATCATCTGGGAGCCAACTACACGTTTTATCCTGTTTGGTGAAAATACCATTTTCTCCTTTATTTGTAAATAAAATTGGTCATAACATCATAACAGAATCACAGAATCTGCTGAGTTGGAAGGGAACCATCAGGATCATTGAGTCCAACTTCTGCCCCTGTGTAGGGCACCCCAAGAATCACACCATGTGCCAAAGAGCATCATCCAAAGGCTTCTTGAAGTCAGGCAGGCTTGGTGCTCTGACTGCTTCCTTGGGGAGCTTGTTCCAGTGCTCAAGCACCCTCTGGGGAAAAACCTTCTCCTGATATCCAAGCTAAAACTCCCCTGATTCAGCTTCCTGCCAATTCCCTGAGTGCTGTCATTAGTCATAGGAGTGAAGAGGTCAGGACCTGTCCCTTCTCTTCCCCTCCTGAGGAAACCACAGACTGCAAGTCCTTAACTAAGCCATATCCCTCAGTACTATGACTATAAGACTCTTAAATCCCTCTAGGGCTGGTGACTCCACCTCTGCCCTGGGCAGCCTGTCCCAGTGCCTGATAACCCTTTTGGTGAAGAAATTCTTCCTGACATCCAATCTAAACCTCCCCTGGCACAACTTGACACCATCTCCTCTGGTCCCATCACTTGAATAGACCAATTCCAACCTCTTTACAACCTCCTTCAAGGTAGCTGTAGAGAGCAAATCTCTTATCTGAAACCATTTCAGTGCCATATCTGCAGAAAGCTTTCGGAAGGAACAACCACCAAAGTTAAGAACACCCCAGAGCCTCTACCTCATTGGTGGTGCGGATGAGTCCGGACACCAGCCCACAGATCTGGTTGCCACGATTACTGTAGGCAGAAAGATCAATTTTTGGCAAGTCTTTGTGCCTGTAATTGGGATCAATCTGCTGGTTAAGCTGCAGCACTTCCTCCTGGAGGGAATAGAGGCGCCGCAGCCTCTCCTGGCCCTCCTCCTTGCGCAGCCGCTCCAGCTCCTCCTGCCGCTGCCGCTGCTGCTCCGCCTCGCGCAGCTTCAGGTTCAGGACCAATAGAGGAAAAGACACAAGAGACACAAGAGACACAAGTTCCTTCAGTAGCTGCGCAAGGTCCTTCCTGCTCCTACAACACAGCATCACAGAATATTAGGGGTTGGAAGGGACCTCCAAAGATCATCTAGTCTGACCCCCCTGCTGGAGCAGGACCAAAAAGCCACACCCAACCAGGGCAGGTCACTCAGAAAGGTTCATCCAGACAGGTCTGGAAAGTCTCCAGAGGAGACTCCACAATGTCTCTGGGCAGCCTGTCACCCTCACAGGAAAGAAGTTCTTCCTCATGTTGAGGTGGAGCTTCCCGTGCTCGAGTTTGAGTCCACTACCCCTCATCCTTTCCCAGGGCACAAGTAACAAGAACTTGTCCCTGCCTTCTTGATGCCCTCATGTATTTATAGACATTAATTAGATCCCCCCTCAGTCTTCTCCTCTCTAGACTGAACAGCCCCAGGTCTCTCAGCCTTTCCTTGTACACATGGGCCTTCACTCATTTCCACAACAAGGCAGCAGGCACCCTTAGGGCAGCACCAGGAATCAGTCTCATTCCAGGGGTGCCACGTAAATAAATACAAACTAATTGTTTGTTCCAGTTCCCACCGAATAATCAAGGTCTTTCACAAAAGACAACTCTTCCAAGTCTCAGACCTTTGCTCTGTGTCGATGTTCTTCCTTCAACTTCTCTTGCTGTCCCTGAGCCTCCTTTGAGCTGCAATACACATAAAGACAGAAAAACTGCACTCAAGATGTGCACAAGGCCAAATGCAAACACACAGCAGGTAACTTGTGAATTAAGCCAAGGAACTTTTAACTGTCACAAATATGGTCTTTCTCTAACCACTGAAACCCCACCAGCAGCCAGAGATTACTCTGAAAGACAAACAATGGCAGGAGCTAATGTAAGAGAAGCAGCAGGTGAGATTTTCAAGTGACGAGCGCAGAATTGTCAGGCACAAGAATTAATCCTCACTTTGGTAAAATGCCGTCAGATTTTCAAGATCCCAGAGCTGATCTCACCTCTTCTCCATGACTTCTTTCAAATCCTGGAACTCCTGATGCTGCTTCAGCTCCTTCAGCTCATCGAAGCGCTTCAGCTGCTCGCTGGCCAGGTCGGACACAGCCCTCACCATCTGCTCCTGCTGCTCCTGCCGCCGCCTCAGCCCCTCCTGCAGGGGAGCCAGCACCACCACGGGGCAGCAACCAGGGGAATTGGGACAGAAGAAAACAAATCACATTGCCCAAAGTGGGTCAACATGGTCTAGGTCTACCTGGGATTGTCCTAAACCAACTATCTCAGGTTCACCCTAAACCCTCTCAGGCTCACCCCAAGCCCTCTCAGGCTCAGGATAACTTACTGTCCTGCTACTTTGAGCAGAGCATTTCACATCTGGCTGTGTAGCTCAAACCCCTCTTAGGTTTTGGGTTTTACCTTTCCCTTCAGCCTGTGCATCTCCTCATACATCCGGATGCAGCCCTCAACCTCAGTAACTTTGGAAGGCAGAACCACTTGAGAAGCTTCTTGATCTGTCTCCAGCAAACCAGGGTCACCATCTCCCTGCAGGGATACAAGCAAAACCAGTGACCAAACACAGAACATTTTTGTGGAGGAAACCAGGTAAATCAGGTCTATTGAGCTGATGATTATTGTAGAAAAACAAAAGGAGTCAACCAATGCACAACTTTTTAGGGTAGTTACACACCCCAGCAGTCTCATCCCTCCAGCACACATATTAGATTGGGATAATTACTTTTCCCAGTCACTAAAACTGGGAGCAGAGGCACTCAGAGCCTACAGAACATTCACAAAGAGCAGCTGTCACCAATAGACCAGACACACTCCTCCACCTTCTCCTTACTTTCAGTGAGGATGTGACACTGGAAGAAATCAAGACAGGTTCATGCTTTGAATCACTCAAGGAGAAGTTTGCAGACTCCCACAACTTTCATCAGATCTTGCCGTTCCATTAAGACGTTTTCCCCTCAATGTGTTTCTTAGGCCTAAAGGGGCCCAAGATGATGCCAAACTTTGCTGCTCAGTATTGTTATGTAGAGATGTCACCATTTAATGCATAACAATAGGCATTTGTTTTCTTTTTAGGTGCTTCATCAACTTCATCACCTCCACGACCCAACTCCTCATTGCCCAGCTCCCCACACTTCCCCACGTGGAAGAGCCACATCACACCTCAGTCACTTAGAGCCTCCAGAGAACCCAATGGGTTACTCATGGACTCTTAGAACAGGCCTGACCTTACTCTGTGGCCTCATCCTTCCAAATGGATCAATCCCATCCTGCTGGTCCTACACAGCTCCAACCCTACATTCTGTGACCATCTTGTTAATACCAATTTTATCATCACTCATTTATCCTACAAAAAGTTGAAATTTAGAACTTCCCCCCTCCAAAGTAACAGAGAACAACCCAATCTCTATGTCTATCAGACAATTGATGCCAGCAAGTTAGCAGGTTTTTTCTCTCACAGCTGCTCACACATGGCTTATCATCAGCAAGTTACCTTTGTTTCACTTGGCTCTGCAGATGAAGGTGGTGAAGAGCCCTGGTGGCTCCCAGATGCAACCTTCTCCAGAGAAGATGATCCACTTGTCAGGGGAGTGGGTTCTTTAGGTGTTGAGCATCTGGTGGGTGTGATTTCTTGGGCTGACTGCCCCACCACTCTGTCCAGGACCCAGCCAGAGTAAGGGGACAGCACAAGAGGAGACATGCATCCTTCCAAGATATCCTAGAGAGAAAACGTTTTCTGTGAAACGCATCAAAAGAAGCAAGAAAATATCAACACACATTGAGAACAGCTGCACAGGTCAGCAGGTGCTTTATAACCACAGCTCATTACCCCGTTTACTCCTTCTTTCTGATGTCTTTTAAACACTTTAAAGCACTTTTAAGCACGACTACAGAGGGCAGCAGGACCACCAGGCTTGAACCTTCCCCTGTAACGCCTCCTCCCCAAACCCTGCACTATTTGGCCAGCAGGAAGGAACCAGAACTCGCCCTGCTGAGGGGGACAGAGGGGCCCAGCCCTGAGGAGCAGGTAGCAGAGACAACACGAGGCCGATTCACGCATTCCAAGCCCCAGGCGCTGTTCAGGAGGCGAGGGGCCGATGTAGCAGCGCTCGGGGGGCCCAGGCACGGATCCCCCGGGTGAAAAGCGGCACCGCGGCGGCCCGGGAGGAGCCAGCCCTCACCTCATCCTGCAGCCAGTGGCGGCGGTAGCTCAGCTGGCCCTTGCTGGAGGAGCGCAGCGCGGCCAGAGTCCGCCAGCGCAGCTCCCGCTCGGGGCCGCGCTCCATGGCGCGCGGGAACGACGCGCTCTGCCCTTCCGCTTCCGGGGCGCCGCCGGAAACGCCGCCACCTGAGCCAAGCGGGCGCCCGCCCCTCCCCGTCCAGCGCCAGGTCCGCGGGTTCGAGTCCCGCCGGCGGCAACTCCCGGGGGCTGCGGCAGCGCCGTGAAACAGCGAGATTCACCACTTTCCCCCTTATTTTGTGTATTCTCGCCGAGAAACCCCGGGAAGCAAGGCTGGAGGCCAGTCTGCACTGCAGCATTGCCCCCAGCCTGCACCAACAGCCCTGGCTGTGGCTGTATTTCCAAAAAGTAAGGGCCAAGATGCCCTTGATAGAGGAGAGAAAATCCCCAACATAACCAATTGAAATATATTTTATTGATGTTTTACCATAGCACCTTTAGGATTTTTTAAAGTGTTAAACACACACAATTACAAAACTCTTTAAAAACAATTAACTTAGAAAAGCTTTATGACAAATGCTGCCCCATAACCATACTGCACAAAAATAGGATATAAAGAGAAATATAAAAACAATGTTTAGTTTTGCACCCATAAAAACCATTTACTGGAAAGAAGAGGGCACTGGAGAGTGCATGAGATTTATGGACTCAACATATTGGAGACCTGATTTCCCAGAAGGTGCTGGCTGGTTTGATACAAATAAGTATTCATACCTGCTCTTTAATTGGCTCAAGACACCAAGACCCCACCTGAAAATCCACTCAGGTTACACTGCAAACTTCCCTTCGAATTCACACAGTTTTGGCTCAGTCCTGGGGATATTCAGGATCAGGAAGTCAGGGTGAGAGGAGTAAAGCAATGTTAGCATCACACTTAAACAAAAAAAGGTGAGGATCAGAAAATGTAAGTATCAAGTAAAAAAACCCCAGCATTATCTGTGATATAAAACTGTTTTCAAACACTGGTTGTTCAGGACATAATGTCTTCTAAGTGTGGAGCCTAGGCACTTAAGTTATTTCTTAATTAATGGAATTATTATCCAAATGACCTCCCACAATCCTGTCATTCAATGTATCAATACAGCGTTCAAGAGTTTAAAAAAAATATTTAAAAACCACAGCTAAAAAACCCCACATGATCTCCACAGTACAGGATGAAAAGGACCTTTTCCATCGCCTGCAAAACCACCTGGTTCTGCAGCACAGTTTAGGGTGTAACACCCACCTCCAGCACCAAACTGGTTCTGCTGGGATGTTTGGGATGTTATTGTCTCATGCTGCAAGGAAAAGAGACCCTGAAATGCCGACCTATTTTCTACACAATGTATGGCTTTGAAATAGGGCTCCTTTTGTGCTTAGAGGTGCAGGGAGAGCCTTATCCTCATGGAGGAGAACGAGAGTGGCTGGGGGAGCCCAGCAAGGCACTTTCTCCAAACACGTTGGCATAGGAAGACTTGAGGAACTGGACATAGTTCTGCATGCTGCGGTTGGTGCTCTCCGACTGCTCCAACCGGTCCTTCAGATCCTGCAGGCGACTTTCGTACTGGCGCTCCGCCTACAGGAGGAAGCAGAAAAGACCAGCTGAAGGACAGCAAAATCCATCCTGTTCCTG